ACCTTGTACTGATATACCTTTTCTTTCCAGCAGTTTGCAATCTCCTTGTCCTCTTCGCCTTCTTCCGCTTCCGCCTTCTCTTCCTCTTCCTCTTCCGCTTTCACCTCCGCTTCGTCTTCGTCTTCGTCTTCTTCGGTTTCAGCTGCTTCTTCCTCTTCCTCTGCTTCCCTTCTCTGTGTCGCATCGTCACTGCTGCCCAAATTCGGAAAACTCTCGCATTCCTGCCACGTCGTTATTGCCTCACTCTCTCCATGCTGCACGTAAATAATTTCCCACGACAAGTCTGGGGCAAACGTTTCCCAGCCGTTAAAATACTCTTCCATATGCTCCTTGAACTGCTTCACCGTGCTGGGTTGGGTGTGATGCTCACCCCTCACAGTCGTCTGCAGCCCAACCATCGTCTTCCGCGGTGTGTCCACGAAGAAAAAGCCGTCAATCAGCGGAAAGCTTTGCGAGTCCGGTACGTACAACGCCCCATACTCCACATCAATCCTCGGGGGATTGTATTCCAGTAGCGTCAATGGAACTGACTTGCTTGGATGCCTTTCAGGGTGCGATTGCAGCACACATGGCCGTCCCGCGCGCCTTGTTGGTGGCCTCAGCTCTTCAAGTCTCTCTTTTATGTTATCCACAAAGCCCCTGTCCGTGAATGCGTGCACACCATACACTTCCAGAACTTCTGGCAAAGAGAAATCCATCAACTCCAACAATCGCCGCAAAACATCATTCTGCTTACATACCGCTGTCAACTTTGAGATTATTCGATGCCCGAGGCGTGAGCACACCGGCAGGTTAACAAAAGTTTCGACCCCGCCAGGTCTACACATTCGAACAGCCTTCACCAGCCCCTGAAACTCGTCATTCGCAGGCCACATTCCCACACCAATGAAAAGGTAATTATGAGCATTCGAAGCCCTAATCCGTTCCAAGACATTCGTAGTCACGGCCAAGCGAGTTCTAGCAACAATGCTATTAAAAATGCATCGCGGAACCGGCCCAATTTGATTCATGTGCTTTTTGACCATCTCCCAGTATTCTGTCTGCTTCCCTGCAGAATCAGCACGCGTCTCCCAAGCACACATCGCCTTCAGATCGTTCTCGTCAGGACAATTCATAACGATCATTTTGGCCTTCTTTTGTTTCGCCCATCCTTTGAAGTTATCTTCGTTCGGAGATGACAACACAATGATGCCCCATGACGTGGAGGGCGGATAATCCCCCGACGGTTCATAACCCTTTTCATCCACGTCGTAGATAACATACCCCTTCTTTCCACGCCAATCCAAATATTCCATAAGGTCGGTAATATTGACCTTACCCTTGTGTTTTGTCACCGTTTGCTCTTCTTTGTCAAACACGAATGCCAAGTGTCCCCCAAAGCAGTAGGCAACCACCTGGAGTTTTGCGATGTCGTAGTGGAGCAACCTGTAAAGGAGGTAGAAGCCGACACCCATTGACTTCCCGATGCCGGGTGTTCCGATCAAGAGACGCCGCCTCACTTTAAACAAGCTTAGATCTTCGGTGCCAAACTCTCCCTCTAAATCGCCCTGCACGATCCGCCAAGCTCGCTCCACTTCGCGGTTGATGTAGCAATCGGCAATACCTCTTCCCTGCTTTAGCGAATAGGGCCACCCCTTCTCAGAGGTGAGTATCATCAGCCGGGGACGCGGTGCAATAAACTGCTCTGCATCTTCCACCGGCAGAAGAGTCCTGACCTGCACTGTGTAATCCCACAACTGTGCTGGTGGTTGGCCCGCTTTCACCTCCATTCGCACCCGTCTGTGGCTTCCTTCGCCCTCGTGAAACTCCAAGACGTGACTGCATTGCGCGTTTAGCACAGAGTCGTAGAGTCCCTCCGTCATTACGTCTTCTACCGTGCTGGTGAGGGGCCACCGTTGCCGTTGCGGTGTTTCCTCGACCCTTCGGCGCTGCGCTGCTGGCCGCTGCGTGTCGCCACCGGGCCCCAGCCTCGACCGGCGCCCTCTCCGCAGCACGGCATTCGCGGGGCGCTCCGCAGCAGCGGCAACTTCTTCCTCGCCTCTTCCAGACATTCTTTTCTTAATATTTTTCACTTCCCTACT